TGTTTCGTCGGAGTTTCACCGACTCATCAGGAGGCTGAACCCTCAACAGTCTGCAGAATCCCCTCACTGATTACACTGTAAATGATAATCTACCTTAACCAAAATCAAAGTAGACTATCACTCACCCACACAAGATGGAAAACTCTACAGACTGTCGGTTCACACCCCATCACAAGCCAGCAAAACATCCACGAGACAAAGAAAGGTCTGTCACAGCCAAAAAATACACTCCAGACACGGACTCTGCGCTGTTGAGCGTTTGGTGACTGGAACCCAGAAACTGTTTAATAATATTTAATATGATAATTCTTTGGATTTACTAAGCTGCGCTAATCTGGACTTGGCATCTCTGGTCTCCCGTGTGGATTTCGTATGCGTGTGATCTCTCATAATCATTGACAACGTGTGTGTGTGCTCAAGTTGACGAGCAGCGTGGCTCGATGCAAAAGACAACTGCAACAAGAGTTCCTTGTCTTCTTTTTTTTTTTTTTTTGGAAGAGTTTCTTGTCTTCCGCGCTACAGGATCGAAAGGATTTGTGCAGACAATGCCTCTGCCCAGATCCCTGATTCACCTGGCAGAGGCAGAGTCAAACATTGACTTGCAGAGAGCTGATGATGGACAGGTCACGAGCTCGAATCCCGATGGAATCAGATAAATAGTAAATAAAATAAAGGGGGCTACCGGTAGCCCCTCCGGAAAGGGAAAAAGACGAAAACAATGCCTCAGCCACGCCGGGAAATGTCCCCCGGTGGATGAACGAAAGCGGAAGGAGGGATCCTGAATGTACATGGGATGCTGGGCCAGGTTCCCAGCACGTGCTGCTTTCCGCCAATAGACTATAGAGCGACCAGCGCCGGGCCACTAGAGGGAAATGATCATCACCTGAACCCCTCTAGCAGGCCGAGGGTACTATTGTCGGGGGAAAAAAAAAAAAAAAAAAAAAAAAAAAAGTTGCCAAGGGGCCCCCGTCTTCATTGCGACAGGATTTCAACGATTTCTGTGCCTGAGGCAAGAGTACAGCCTTGGCTTGTATGCTGATTCTTTTCCTTTATTTCTTTAAATTATTTAAATTATTTTCTTCCGAGGGTTATTTTTCCTGTGAAGCAAGCCTTACGCTTGGTTGATGAAGACCGCCGATGCATGTGGTGCTGTGTGCATTTTTTTTTATTTTATTTTTTTTGAAACAAGTGCTCCAATCTATTTGTGGGGAGCAGCACGCGCTGGGAACCCGGCCCAGCGTCCCATATCGAATTTGTGTGCATTACTTCTTTCTGTGCAAGCCGCCATGGTGTCCCTTTTCTTTTTTTTTTTTCTTTTTTTTTT